GGAAGCCACTAAAGATACAGCATCCATTATTTGGAGAGTCCCACAAGAACTTCTCTGTAAATGCAGCAACCCCAGACCTACGTGCGAAGCTCTTCACAAACACGGGAGAAGGGCAGAGTTCTACCAGGAGGTACAGGATGGGTTGCCACTGAAAAGATCAACAAATAACCACTGTAGTTCTGCATTTAAAGGGTTTCGTGGTGATTAACCATGAGCTGATTCAGTAAATTTCCACTACTAGTGATTTTATGCTCAATCTGCTCACTGTGCATACATAAGTGTGATCTATTAGAGCATGTGGGAAATTAGTGTTTGTTGAACTGTTATTAAACATTTTATATCATTGTAAACAGAGGCAGCCCACAGGGCATCAGGACCATGGAGGCAGCAGGGTATGACCCGGCAGAGCAGAGCTGGAGTGCTGGCTCTGCTGTGTACCGGTGGTGAGGCCAAGCACTCACCCACCTGGGCTTACTCCACTACAGAGCGAGCTGCTGTGAGGATTAACTAAAATACCGCACATGGAACCCCAGGCACAGACCTGGTCAGGGCAGGACTTCTATATGGCTGTTTCCATTTCTCTTCCTTTAACAAAAGAATGAATATTTGGCCCAGCCGGCGGTGTGGCTCAGTGGTTGAGTGTCGACCTAAAACCAGGTCACAGTTCGATCTCGGTTGGGGCATATGACTGGGTTGCAGGCTTGATCCCCAGTGTGGGGCATGCAGGAGGCAGCCGATCAATGATTCTCATCATTGATGTTTTTTCTCTCTCTCTCCCTCTCTCTTCTTCCTGAAACAATAAAAATATATTTTAAAAAAAGAATGAATATTTGTAGAACTAATATAATATGTAAAAATGCTTTCAAATAAAGGAGGAATTGATCTAGTCATACTTATTAAGTTGTACTGTTTGGATGAGAAAATACTAGACTTTGAACTGAATCAACTTTCTATGATTTAGAAGCAATTTAGACAAAGCCTTTATAGGAGCCTCACATACTGCTCCTAGCAAATTCTAATTTGGTTTCTTATGGGCTCTGCTACCTGGACCACGTCAGGGAGTTTCTCAGTCTCCTTGCCTTTAAAATGTGGCTCATGTCTGCTTTCAGGGTTGTGCTCATCAGATAGGGCCACTGCCCCAGGCAATATTAATATTTTCATTTCGATGGGAGTGTTCAAAGCACAAAGACCTTTACATTATGAATTTTCCTCATGAATATTAAGCCAAAGGTTGCGCGAAAAATATGCATTTCTCTTCCTTTTAGAAGTCTTTTTTTATTTTGTGAAAATAGAGGTATTATTTCATTTTTCCATAAATATTTTCTGTAAAGGGAGGCCTTCTATAAATGGTTTTAAGTTTTGCACCAGGGAACTGTTTTTCCTTTTTTTTTCCATAAGTTTGAAAATGTGGTCTCTAAACTTTATTAATTCCATTACTCTTCTTTAGTATTCATTTACCCCCCTATTAGTATCCACTTTAAGAGTGCTTTGACTTCTCCTAAATATCATTCAAGAATATTCCTAAAGATTGAGATTAGGCTGTAAGAACTGGAAGTATTTTTCCTCCTTCTGATATTTTCCCCATATTTTCATTTACTATCTCATCCCCACAGTACTCGACTTAAAAGCTGATCTGCCATGTGCTACACGCACATCAATGGTTGTGCGGTACATACCTTGTTTGTGCTAAAATGAGATAACAGATGTGAAAGTATTTTAAAAGTTTAAAAGCATTAGGTATTATGATATAACTGTGAATGCAACGTTTATTTTATTAGGTGTATGGAAATAGGGGAACATTTCAGAACTTCTGAGCTAAAGTGTCCAATTTAGAATTACAGGCTTGAAAAGCTATGTTTTTAGCACAATAGGAAACCCACTGTTTAGATGTGTTTACATCATTACTCTCAGTGGTTTAAAAAATGCTATTAGTACTAAACTCAATTTTGCTTCTCACATATTCATCTAAGATAATTTGAGGCAGAATACTGATTTTATCAGAATAAAAGCAAACAACAGCCACAACATTTGCAAAGCCCTTGTATTCCCAAACAGCTATTTTTCATATTGGTTTAAATGCAAAACAAGTAATTAAACACCACTCCAGTGTTACCTTTTAAAAAGTATTTGCCAACAAATGAACTTAATAGGTGGAATGGACATCACTCTCAGCATTGTGTTTCCAAGTGAAGCAAAGCATTTCCAAACATCTGGTCAGCAGACCTTAAGAAGGCAAAACTCCCATGAATGACTGCAGCCACCGAGAGCACAAGGCTTATCGCCTACGGCTGGAACTCCAGATCACTCCAGATCACTCCGGTGGGGGCTCAGATAAACCTGAGGCACTGCCAGCATGTCAAACTCAGGGCCGGTGCGTGTGACATGCTTGCAGTAGAGTGTTTCCTGAAAACATGGATCTGTCTTGGTGATTCTCTTTAACTGTGTTTCCCTGTCCTTTAGCAACAGGAAAGAAACCCTGAAGATGGACTCCAGCGACTTAGGAACAGACTGGCTAGGCATGTAGTGACCAAACTACAGTAAGCCTCTGGAGAGAAACCGCTGGGGGAAGACCCGCTGGGACTGGGCTCCTGGTGGAAAGGCGGTGTGACTGCTGCTTGCTTACTGGGATTTTAATGGCTAATGCAAGTCTTTGGGAAGACTCGACTTTACTGGCTAAGCACATAACTTTGAGAAAAAAATGTAGTCTAGAGAGAGTATAATATGTTTTTAAAAAGCAAGTGAATTTTTGAAATTATGATAGCAAATGACCCAAAAAAGAAAAGAACATCAACCTCAGTTGTTGAATGGTGGAAAAGCTACATACATAAAACTGTTCGACAACAAAATTATCAAGTATTTCATATCTTGTTAGGTTCGGCTCTACTTTAAACAGGTACATACGTGTTCATTTCTTCATGATTTTTTGGCATTTACAGATGAGGAAACACTCTTAAAGCAAACAAATCAATGGCTGCAATTAACACAACCTGAAGAGCTGCAATCCCAGAATGCTTTTTCTTATAGGTCAGATTCCTGTAGCATCACCTCCTATTTTCTCAGCAGCAAAAGTGCTGTATCGAATAGCAGGATTTTAGGAAGTTTTTAACAAGCTTCTGGTTGCTGATGGAGGCCTGTGTCTACAACTAGTCATTTGAGCATTGTGAGCAGCACACGTGAGGTGAATGAGCACATGCACACAGGCCCTCCATGGCTCACCACATCCCACCGCCTGCTTGTCTACCTCTTCTTGCTGCTTTTGGCCCTCTCTCACCCGGCCAGATACAAGTTCATTGAATCTTCTCAAGGGCAAGACAATTCCTGAAAATGATGCATTCAGACTGGAGTGACAAGAAAACAATGTAGGTTATTCAAAAGGTACTACTGGCCCAGTTTGTGACTCTCATAAAGAAAGTAAGAGAGAAATTTTGCTAGAGTACCCTGGAGAGTTCATATATAGGAGGAAGAGTAATTAATTTCCTCTTTGGAAAAGCTGTACCATGTGGAGAAATTTCATAAATTATGTGAGCAGCTGAGATGGGTAATTCTGTTCCTGAAGTCGACACAGTCAATAAGAGCTAATGTTCATCAACGCACGATCCTCCCTTACCCAGCAGAGAGAAGGGTTCGGAAAACACCCCGTTTGCATTAATACGTAAAGACTACATGGTTCAAGGTCAAAATGTACCATGTCTCTGAAATCCTGTCTTTAGAGAGATTTAACCACCTATGTGATCCACAAATTCTAACAAGTAGCAGGAAATACATGAACACCTTTTGGAAAAAAGCTCTCAGACTCGTTATTTAAAAGAACATCAGTGAAAACAGTAATAAGGATTAAAAGGCAACACGTAACAAGAGAGAAAGGGAAAATTATTCTTTTCTTGTCTCTCCTACATTTTCCATCTCCCTTCAATAAAGGATTCTCCACAATCCCAACATTGCCATTCCTTGCACAAAGAACTCTGAGGACAATTCAGAACTGAGAGAGCTAAAAGGAGATGCAATATATCAGGCCCTTTCTTCCTGGGGCATTAGCAGGCAGAATAGCCATAGTTTCCAGAACATTCTCTTCACATTTTTCTTTTGTGAGTAGCAGCATAGAATGTTTGCCAAAGGCTTTTAAAAACAGAATCTCACAAACAGTTGAGAGAAATATTTAACAACCAAGGCGAAGCAATTACAGTCATATTTTCACCTCGAAATTTTCATCTTAGGTGTGAGAGGCAGAGAGAAGCCTTTCAACACATCATTCTGAACCTAGAATGAGGATGAAAAGGGTTGAATCTGCCAATTGTTGTCAACAAATCCATGTCTCTGAATCTCAGGGCTACACGCCAGGGCTAGCTGTCCACATGAATGTGCGCTTAAGAACAGCGCCACTGTTTGGCTACGGCTGACTCGCGTCTCAGAGCGGCCATCTGAGGACAGGTCAGACATAGACGTCCACACCAAAACAGGGAAAGGTCTGAATGTGACAGATCTCTTTTTTTCAGTTGTTAGTGTCGGGCAGCAGCGTCATTTTCAGCTACTCAAGTTCACAACGTGAGATGACGCAACTAGTCCCAATAGTACACGTCTATGCAGATGTGTCTACTTGGGAGGGAATTAACAACATTATTGGAGTTAACACTTTCCCCTGATTTCTGCTCTGCATTCCAGCCCATTTACATTTTCTAATCTAGACTTTTATTATTCATTTTCATTATGATTTCATTCTTGCCCAGTAATTATTCCCTTTAGGGCAAAGACTTATGAGAGTGGACATAATTTCTTTAGTAAGAATGAAAACCAAGCGTTTGTGTATACCTTCCATTCCCAGAAAGGTCTGTTTCAATCTAGGTCAAGTGAGCAGGGAATGAAAGCCATGTCATAAAATGGTCAAATTCCCATTGGTGTGGACAATAGGCATCGTTTGTTAGCTATCGCTCAATGTTAGAATACATTTCGCGATATGAGTGAAAGGAAAAAGAACGTTAGCGAGGCATTTAATAACACCTTACCTGGGCCATCTGCCTCTCCAGTTTTGATCGGGGAATATCATCAAAGTAGTTTTCATTTCTTCTCCTCCTTGCATCGCCCTGCATGATAATGTGAGGAACGTCTAGGGAGCCACCAGTGGTGTAAGTGCTTTGGCTAAGTGATGGAGACAACTGAGGAGGAGTGTGATTACCACTGGGTTCCTGAATGGAAATACATCATGAAGTAAATACCACATTTTGGCGGCTAACCTTTGGTTGCAAAATTGTGAAATACCGACAAGACACACTGTGGGGGTGGGGACTCATTTTTGAATCAACTACCAAGGTGTGGATGGCATCCCACTGTCTTGTGAATGGCATGATCTAGTCAATACTTTTCCCCCCTAAGTATTTCAGGCCGAAGGGTTAGAGTACAAAGAATCAGGCTGTTTTCTTCAACCAGCACAGTGGGTGATCTCAGGGGAGAGGACGCAGATGTCCGGCAACCCTGACACGACCGCGTGTGTGTACGAGGGCAGGAGCTGCGTCCTCCTGTGGACAGAGTCCTCACCACGGGAGATGCCATGACGAGGAAGCTAAATGGGAACCACCGGGGCTTGATCCTCCATCAAACGGTGGTCTGGCAGTCAGGTGGGAAAGAGGACACAGTACGGAAACAGAGCATGTCACACGTGCAGATGGCAGGGCAGTGCATAGAATGACTTTCAAAGGCAAAGGTGACTTAAGCTGGGGGAAAGTGGTCGGAAGTAAGATAAGAGGAGGCAGTCAGCTGGGCTCTAGTGTTTGCAAGTAAGAGGAGGGTTGGAGGGTGCTGATTCCCTGGCCCCCCAAAGGTTCTGGACCTCCTTTGACAAATTAAGGTTCTGCACTTTTTCTTGGGAATCTCTACTGTTCTCCTAAATCGCTTTCAGGGGGTGAGAGGGATGGGTTCAGAAGGGGGAGGAAAGAGAGCTGAGTAAGCAGCAGGGAAAGCCTCTTCTAAACAGTCATTCCAGGAGGGCTATCCTGACAGTGCCTACATCTTTCTCCCCTTCTGTGTAGCAAAATAGGGTAAGACAATAATCCCTCTCTAGCCTCATTTTTCTCCCAATTTATTTGAAGCTCCTCTTATTGAGGGAGAAAAATAGGTCCTAATTCTATGTTCACTGCTCCCAAAGCCCTCAACTAGCCTCTGAATGTCCCAGCGTCTCCCAATTGCCCCAATAATCACTTTTCTTAAGGGCTCTGTCCTGGAGCCAATTCTCTTTCATTTCCAGAAATCTTTGTGCACTTTCTTTAAAACGGAATCAGACTCAAATCTTTTTTAAAAAATATAAAATCCAACAACTTTTATTGTATTACCAACAACTTTTATTTTAAAGTATTACCT